CAGTGCCATATAATGCATCCCTAAATTTCCATGGCATGATGCTTTTACACACCCTTCATCTTCCCTTAGCTGAGTATGTAGTTCACCTTTCCTGACCTCTGATGGCATCTCATTTAAAGCACACATAGATATAGTGGTACCTTGGGTTACAGATGCTTCAGGTTACAGACTCAGCTAACCCAGAAATAGTACCTCGAGTTAAGAACTTTGCTTCAGGATGAGAACAGAAATCGCACGGCGGTGGCAGGAGGCCCCATTAGCTAAAGTGGTACCTCAGGTTAAGAACAGTTTCAGGTTAAGAACGGATCTCCAGAACGAATTAAGTTCTTAACCCAAGGTACTTTGATGGCGCCTTGTATACTTCCTTCTGGCAACTCCTGCAGCCATACAGGTACCAAACATATTGTTCTGCTTTCCTTTGGACCACATCAGCAAGGCCGAGAAGGGGGCCTTGTCATCTGGGCAGCCCAGCAGCACAATACACACTGCCCAGGCTTTCACCCCAGGGGGACCACTAACACAGCGATTTGCCTTCACCCCCAGAAGCGCACTCCATTGTCTCTCGAGACAAGTGGCTGCAAACAACAACAAGAGGTTTCCAACTATTCTTTAACTATCCAACCAACCATATTTGAATGTATGGAACTCTTGACAGTAAAAAGACTTGACATCGGAGATCAGTGACCAGTACCTTTGGAACTCTATGATGTACACAGAGGCCCTGAGAAGAGAGACAGAACAATTGAACTAAGCACCAACCTTTGTTTTGTATCTTAGGTATTTTTACTTATGTCTGTTGTAATTCTGGGGATTTCCCTCACATGCTTTTTTGGGGAGTGAGTGGGTGTTTTATAACCTTGGTTTTAAATGAAAATGACATACTGTATGGAAAGAAAACGCAAACACACCTATCCAACCAACCATTCTAGATAGTCACCCTGTAATTTTTTTCACAGCACCTTGAAATTCCCCATCAACTAACAGGATCAGTAACGGAAATCATATGCATCCTCACTGGATACAGCAGCTACCTCCCTTTGGTGTAGAAATAAGAGTCATACTTCACCAGTCACAATTCATGATATGCTGGTATTGTCCAATTTTCATTGAACTGTCTGTGATACTTTTTAGGTCCTCTTGAAGCATCGCATTTATAATTTCTGCTGGTTAAATCATTATGACCCTTAGCTTAAACTAGAAGAAGAAAAGAGCCTTTTCTACTTTGCACATACATATTCCAGTGTCTTAAATGGGCCCACAATACCATTAACGCTATAAAGCTATCAGGAGTCGATTGTTGTTTGCAAAGACATCTGCAAAGCATCATATTTTGTTTGCAATGAAATCTTTTTGTTATCATTATGATGAATTTTTTAAAGAAATCATGCCCATGCTTTGCAGTGGAAGGCCAGTTCTTTGAAATGCAATATTACTCTGCTGGTGCTTGCTAAATCAACAGTGTGACTCCTTCTTCTTCTCCTGGCTGCCTACCTTGAATGAATCTCAAAGTAGGTCACCCTGTGCATTAGATTCAACTTATATTAGTTTAACTTTGCCATATATTACTTTACAACTGATGTAGAGTTGAACTGAGCTTGATTTTATCTTTATAATTTTTTGCCAGCCTTGATCTTTATGGGTCTTTATTCTGTGAGCTTTTAAAGGGAGGAGGGTGGAAATCTCCTACCCTTGTTTGTCCTTTGCTTTCAAGGAGACAAACAATTATTTCCAATTGCTGCAATACATATTTTATTATTATTCTTTTCTGCTGACAAAACGCCTGTTTGAGCAATTAAATAATAATAATGTTTAGCTGGAGTTTAATAGCCTGAAATGCTACTTTTGGTTATCTTGTGAACTCTATATTCTGAAGAGAGAGTGGCGGGTGACAGTTTTCTGACACTGCCAGCTGGAAGCAGCATACAAGGTAAAGTTTAGGCAACTACCAAATGATCCAAATCATGAACAGGAGGAGGTTCAGGTTTTTTATTAAAGAAATGGGGGGAAATGAGGGGAATGCAGCTGTCAAATCTGCACATTTGCTGTTTCCTCATAGAAAATTTAACTGGAAAAATAGTCAGGGAAAGACTGGCAACCCTATCTGTTGAGGAAAATGACTTCCTTGCACATTCCTTGCAGGAGCTTAACTCAATTACTGTCAGAGAATGATCCATACCCTAAGCTGGAGTCCCACAGACAAATTAATGAGGTGATAATGAGATATGCATCTTTAGTTTACAATCCAGTGCTCAGGTACTAAACATGCATGTGCTTGGGCTCCATAGTTTGCTAATCGGTTGCTGCAACCTGGCCCAGTGTAGTCACATTCCTGCTGACCTTGTAATGATGTCAAAAGAACAAAGGAAGGCTGTGTGGCTTGCCAGCCTGGCCCACCCAATGAGACAGGCTGAAGCAGTCACCTTGGGCAGTGGAATCTCTCGGGGCAGCTGACAAGATCTTGTGAGGGAGTGGAAAAGCCAAAATGCAAAAGAGTAGATATTTCTGATAGCCGAAGAATTGATGCTTTTGAATTATGGTGCTGGAGGAGACTCTTGAGAGTCCCATGGACTGCAAGAAGATCAAACCTGTCAACTCTAAAGGAAATCAGCCCTGAGTGCTCACTGGAAGGGCAGATCCTGAAGCTGAGGCTCCAATACTCTGGCCACCTCATGAGAAGAGAAGACTCTCTGCAAAAGACCCTGATGTTGGGAAAGACTGAGGGCACAAGGAGAAGGGGACGGCAGAGGACTAGATGGTTGGACAGTGTTCTCGAAGCTACTAAAATGAGTTTGGCCAAACTGCGGAAGACAGGAGTGCTCTGGTCCATGGGGTCACGAAGAGTCAGACACGACTAAACGACTAAACAACAACAAGATCTTTCAATCCACAGAAGAGCAGAGGAATGACTATGCAAGCCATCAGTGGTGGCACATCCTGTTTCACTGTTTCACTTCAGACATTCGCTTTTGTCCTCTGTTGGTGATGTTGTTCTTCCTTTTTGGCAATGTGTGGGGGGCCATCTTATCCTCAAGCAGCTGTCCCATCAAGTCTCTGCTGCTCCAAGTCTCAGGTCAGCCTGTGGGCCATTATTGTAAGTTTCTGTGATGTCCCAGATGAAGGAAGCCCTATCCCTACCACTGAGCATTCTACTGTTTCAGGAAGTGTGAATTATTGTAAATAATTTCACATTAAAATGTGAACTAAACCAATTTGTCCTCTCAGAGAGGGAAAAGAAGATGAGCAGCAGCAGGAATTGTTCCGAATGCTTCAAGTAAGGGAAATTGCTTGTTTCAGGGCTGATTTAAACACATTGCCTCACGTAAAGGTAAAGGTAAAAGGACCCCTGAGCGTTAGGTCCAGCCGCTGACAACTCTGGGGTTGCAGTGCTCATCTCGCTTTACTGGCTGAGGGAGCCGGCGTACAGCTTCCAGGTCATGTGGCCAGCATGACTAAGCTGCTTCAGGTGAACCAGAGCAGCGCACAGAAACACTGTTTACCTTCCCACTGGAGCGGTACCTATTTATCTACTTGCACTTTGACGTGTTTTCGAACTGCTAGGTTGGCAGGAGCAGGGACCGAGCAATGGGAGCTCACCCTGTAGCAGGGATTTGAACCACCGACCTTCTGATCAGCAAGCCCTAGGCTATGTGGTTTAGACCACAGCACTACCCGCGTCCCTCACATACATAGTGCCAAAGAAGTGGCTTGTCGGGTGGGATGCAGCAGCTATGGCACGTGGGTCACTGTTGCTTACCAGGAAGGGCGAGTAGTAGGGAGGTTGATGCAGCACAAGCACACCAGCAGAGTCAATTCAGCAACCTTGGCAGTGTGTTTGCACCATGCCAACCTCCCTGTCACCTTGCCCCTCCACCTCTCTGTAAGCAACAGGAAGCTTAGAACTGCCATATGTCCAGGATTTCAAAGGTGGAATTGACGTCCGGGGGGGGGGGGGGGGGACTTCCGAAAGGTGGTGCTTTTTGGTGTTTTTGTAAAAACAAAAAAAAAAAAGCTCAATAACACATCTGGCGGAACTCCATTCAAGGCTGCAAAATGTGCTATCCCCAGTGAGCTTTCTCTGTGATGACTTCTGTTGCTGAAGACTCCTGCCCACGGAGAGCAACCTAGGAACCTCTCCATTTGAGTTCAGATGCACTTTGCAAGAAGCATTCTACACGGATGGCTACCTGTAAATTTTGACTGTATGCTATTGTTGCTTTAATCATTTTAGCCATACCATTAAAAATAGTTTTAGCTGCATCACATTTCATCAGGTGTATTTTTATGTTGTTTTTTCCAAAGTATATTTCTAAAGGAAAATGAAATAGTAAAAGTATATTATGATAATGTGACCTGATTACATAGTACGACATGGAAATTTCTGTGGGACTCTGTATAGTATTTCACTACCTGTTGGGGGTGGTTTGAAAGCTTTGCTCCCATAGTCAGCCATCAAATTGCATTTGGATTATACTGCCCATTAAGATAAGCAGATAAAAATAAAAACTGCTCATTTCTAGTTACAAACAGCAGGGAATGTACTCTGAATCAATAGCATCTAATGCTGGTCATCACCAGAAAACATACTGTTAAAGGGTGCTTTTCCAGGACGATTGCAGTTGTGATTATATTTCCATAGCTTACTGAGCCATGCCAGTTAAATAAGGAAGTAAATAATCATATGCACAAGGGAATGTTTGCATGGAGTTCCTTAAAAAAAACCAAAGCACTGCTTTACAAATGGATGCTATGAGGTACGGAAGTGTGCCTCAAACCTTCGGCAGGCATCCTGGGCATTCAGGAAGGCAGCCCATGAGCAGGGTTTGGAGGCAAGTGTGCTAGTTCCAACCACCCCCTCTCTGTCACCCTCCACAAGTTGGAGGGTGGTTGTCAGATGTGGGAAGCCTCTTCTTCTGGAGGCTCCCTGCTCAATGTAGAAGCCCGGAAAAGCAGCATAGAAGCAGACTTCCCACTTTAGACAGTCACCCTTCAACTTGCAGAATGATGTAGCCCAGTGGTAAGAGCTTTTGCTTTGCCTGCAGAAGGTCCCAGATTCAATTTCCAGCAACTCCAGGTAGGGCTGGGAAAGATTCCTGCCCAAAACCCTGGAGAACTGCTACCAGACAATGTTGGTGACACTGAGGTGGAATGGTTTGGCTTGGTTTAAGGCACTTAAACCTCTTCCTCTATTACAGGGATGGAGACCTGAGCTTGTGCGTACATTTTCATGCTCCCCATGTATTGTATTCCTGGATTTCTAGTACACCTGAAGAGGGTTTAAGTTGCCTCGTTTTACATGAAGATACCAACATGCAATCGTTCATAAAGCACCTCTAGGTAAGAAATAAAAGTTCAACTCTCCCTGAAAAAGTTTCTACGGGAGTCCAGTAGGCCTACCTGTTCCTGCTTTAATCAGCCTTGCTCTTAAGATCAGCCCAAGGCGCTGTAATCCAGGCTCCGACACCTGGGGAGAGGATGGAGACAACAGGTGAAAGAGACTGTGACTCTCCACTCTAATTTGTGTTTGATGTCAGCAGGGGCAGCCCTTTTCATTTTTTCTGCAGATGGAAAACTGGAAGGTGCCACCTCCCCACTGCCGCTCCTGTTGCCTTCCTCACCAAAGCCTCACTTCTGGGATTGTGCAGCTTCTGGGATCTAGAGCAATCTTGCGAAAGCTCCATGAGATCATGTGAAAACTCCACATGATCTCACCAGAAACCAGAAGCTGCCATGGACCTTGCTTTTCTGGTGGCCTGCGGGGCCCATGGCTGCTCCAGAAAATAGAGGAAAACCAGCTGTGGCTTCCGGTGAGATCATGCAAGAACCTTGCCAGAAGCAGCTGCCAAAGCCACTTTCCCTTGCTTCTTTGGTGGTGGTGGTGGTGGTGGTAGGCTGGCAGGGGGGCAGCTGAGGCGGCAGCAGCAGCAGCAGCAGCACCCCCTTCAATTCTACCACCCAAGGTGGCTGCCTCAGTCCACTGCATGGATGCCTGGTTAAAAACACATGCAAGGTTTTATTTGCCAATGCCTTTCAAGTGTTTTGCACTTGCATTGGATCACCATGCCTTGTCGTGTTGTCACCATACCTTGTTGTACAATTTCATTTTCTGCAGCGTGGTTTTAGTATTTTGTTGCGAGCCTCTGCAAGAGCATTGCTGTATAGGAGCTGATAAATATTTTAAATAAATGTCTTTCTCCCCTTCTCCCCTTGTAATGCTGCTGTTGAGCAGTCATTTGCTTGCCCTTGGACCTGCTGTTGAATAATATGCCATGATGCAAGGTGACTGGATAGCCTCTCACTTCTGATTTACGCATGCTGGCAATAGCAGGAAGGCAATAGCAGCCAGTGGGGCAGGTCAAGGTGAGGCTATGCTGCTTACCTGGGCTTCCCAATGCCAATATTGCTATCAGTTACCAAGATGAAGATACAGTGGTACCTCGGGTTACATACACTTCAGGTTACAGACTCCGCTAACACAGAAATAGTACCTCGGGTTAAGAACCTTGCTTCAGGATGAGAACAGAAATTGGGCGGTGGCGCAGCAGCAGCGGGAGGCCCCATTAGCTAAAGTGGTGCTTCAGGTTAAGAACAGTTTCAGTTTAAGAACGGACCTCCGGAACGAATTAAGTACATAACTTAATGGAAAGAGCAGGGAGGTTGTTGCAGTGCAGGAGCAGAACAAATATGTCACTTCTGCCACTGCGCTCACACCACACTGACTTCCCTGCCACCTTAGCCTTCTCTCTCTCATAATAATAATAATAATAATAATAATAATAAATTTTATTATTTATTCCCCACCCATCTGGTTGGGTTTCCCCAGTAACTAGCAGTGATCTAGGCACTGGGAAGCCTGGCAAGCAGTGTAACCCTACCCTGCCCCACCTGCTACTGCAGGGATGTTTTGCATGCTTAATATGTAGTATCACTGAAAAAGCACCTCCGGTACACCTTAATGGAATGGTATGGCTTTAGTGGGACCTATGGACTAAACACCAGATTGTAAACTCTCCAGTCATACTAATATATATTTATAATGATTTTGCTGTTACCACTTGAGAAACAAGGGGATGCATCTTGTTCTTTGAACACATCACTCTTAATGATCAGTTTAAACATTCCTATTTGGGATTCAGTACACTTGTTTCTGATAGCGAACACAGAGGAAAGAATTATGTGAAGTAGGAGAGGAAAAGATAAAGAAGTTGAAAAGCCCCATATTAAGAAACAAGAAACGATTACTGGTTATACTCAAGAAATGAATGTGTTTTGGAAAGCTTGATCGGGAAAGTACATTTGTCTCAACCATATACACAAATAAGTGCATCCAGCATGAGTATAATCCAAGTCGAGCATAAACACAAGACTCCCGCTGGATTTTTGGTTTCTAATATCATGGAGTCATCCAATTAAAATGGGATTATTGCTTAGATATTTCCAACCTTTGTTCAGCTCTACTGCTTTTTTCTTTTTCTCCCCCCCCCCCAACCTAATCTCAAAGCAGCCACTGTGGGACACCAAGATCTGAGTAACAGTTTTCTAGTAACCTTTTAAGTCAACCTGGAATCAGTCAAGGAGCAGCTCTACTTTTTAAAAAACAAAAACAAAATTCAAGTCCAAGAACACGTTTGTAGGTTTCTCCTCTGTGTTGGCAGAGTTGAGAGATCAGCATCTTTTCAATGGCGAGTGATACCCAAGCTGAAACTACACTGCTTAAATAGTTACATTGTCTTCACGTGTCTTGAAAATGTTCTCACAAATTATTATTTGGGCAAAATGAATGTCGGTGAGCCATCTTCAGGAATGAAAGGAAGGGCCAATGCTCAGTGGTAGAGTATGTCTTTTGCATGGAGAAGGTCCCTGGTTCAAACCCTAGACTATTCAGGTTAAGAGGGGGAAAGACTCCTATGTTCTTGTGGACCTGTAAGCAGAACCAGGCAGGGACACAGCACTCATCTATGTCACTGCTGCTCACCAGGAGATAGAGTGGGAGAGGCAAAGTCTGTGCAGTGCAAACACACCAGCAGACTCAATCTGGTGCTTCCACCAGTGCATTTCCACCATGCCAACCTCACCAGTAATCAGGAGCAACATGGGTGGTAGGGGATCAGGTGAGCACCTCTGCCCTGTCCCACTGACTACTACTTCCTGGATGCTACCCCACTGTCTGATGGGTATGGGCATACTCACACTGCCCATCTCTCCCTAAACACCCCTCCCCACAGATTTACTGTACTTGCCTTAATGAAATTGCACCTCAGAGCACACTCTTTGCTTAAATGTCTTTATTTGATCTAAGACTATCCCACCCAGTTGAAAGAAGCCATTTTGTAAAAATGTTAATGTAAGCCTTGTTTTCAATGTGCTCCCAATATACTCCCATGCTTCATTTTCATTTATCAAGGCAATTATTTCCTGCACTGAAGTTTCATTTTCAGCATGGCTGAGATAAAGCAAATTTGTTTTCCTGATTTATTTCTGTGATGAGCTATGTTGTTCAAAACTAACTTGGCCAGCGATTGAAAAATTGTTTCCTGGGCTGCACACAGAGTGATGCTGATAGTCAACATACCCAAGGGGCCTTCAGTGCTGTTCTGAGTTTTATCTGATTGTGTTGGAAGTAGTGAAATGGATAATTATTTTTCAAGGGGGAAGAAAAACATTTGAAAAAAAGACCTTCTACACTTTTTAATTTTGAAGTTTTCAGAGATACATCAGTTAGTGACAGAAGAATCATCAGCCAATGGATCAACATCTATAAAAACAGAAGGGTCCCTGAAAAGTTGGTATATTTGTTTTATCTTGCTAGTTCAAAATTTAATCTGCTTAACTTGTGATGTTAAGTGCCATGTATTCAGTGGTCTGTGTTTGTCTGTGCTTGAGTCTGGACTAAGGATTCTGAGCCCCTGTGTTCTGATTCAGTACATGATATCCAATCACAGACAGGCCAAGGACCCATTCTTGAGAGAGATCTAGCTCTCGCGGGGGCTAATGAGATTCCTATAGGAAACCTGCAAGCAGGACCTCTCCCTACTTGTGATTCCTATCAGCTGGTATTTAGAGGCAAACTGCCTCCGACAGTGTAGCTAGACGGTAGCCATCACAGCTAGCCATTATAGCATTATTCTCCATGGATTTGTCTAATAACCTTTCAAAGCCATCCACTACATCTTGTGGGAGTGAATGACATAATTTGACTGTGCACTGTATGAAAAATTAGACATTCAACTTCATTGTACGGCCCCAAGTTCTAGAGAGGGAACTATCTACTTTCTCTTTCTTAATGTGGTGGTGATTCTGTTTCGGAGAAAATGCCACTTCCTATGCCCTGCTGGAAGTGAGAGCTGGACCATAAAGAAGGCTGATCGCCGAAGAATTAATGCTTTTGAATTATGGTGCTGGGGGAGACTGTTGAGAGTCCCATGGACTGCAAGAAGATCCATTCTGAAGGAAATCAGCCCTGAGTGCTCACTGGAAGGACAGATCCTGAAGCTGAGGCTCCAATACTTTGGCCACCTCATGAGAAGAGAAGACTCCCTGGGAAAGACCCTGATGTTGGGAAAGATGGAGGGCACACGGAGAAGGGGACGACAGAGGACGAGATGGTTGGACAGTGCTCTCGAAGCTACCAGCATGAGTTTGACCAAACTGTGGGAGGCAGTGGAAGACAGGAGTGCCTGGCGTGCTCTGGTTCATGGGGTCACGAAGAGTAGGACATGACTAAACAACTAAACAACAACATGCCCTGCTGGCTCATGCAAACCAGGACAATGATTCAGGGAAGATGCCTTTTTGTTGTTGTTGTTTACGTTTTACTATCATGGCTGGGTTTGTGGAAACATCCATCCTATTGACTACAACTGGTGGGAAATAAGCTACTCTAGCTTCAGGCATGTTGTGGCTTTGCAGCCAATTGGGCAGTGCATTGGTGAAATGAAAAGGCTTCAGATACCTCAGATCTATTACCTCCCCCAAAGTGTTCTCTGCATGCCTGCCAGAATGCCCCAACTTGGCGACTACTGCTAGGGGTGTTTCTATCCGCAAAACAGCAATGGCGATCACACTTGCCACCACCACCCCACTGCACCTCAGACTTCTTTGCACAATGACCTCTTTCTCTGGCCACAGAGAGGGAGATTCACAGAATTCACCACCCTTCCCAGGATTTTAGGATTGCTGTTTTGGTGACTTGCTGACCTCATACCTTGCTATAACTTGGCGGCAATGAGAAAAATTCTGCATGCTTCATAATCCCTGTTTTGTTTTTTTCTTATCACCTAAAGTTAAATTCATGTGAGTCAAGTGATAACTGTCTTAACTATCATATGATGGCCTTGCTGTTGGCCACCAGCCCACTTCCCAGTTAGCTATCTCTGAACTCTTCTATTATATTTAAGTATTAGATGGGAGAGTGTGCATATAGATAAAGCTTATCACAAAGTCCATATGCCCTGGTTCTCTGAATCTAAATTCCAGGCTGCAACCATAGGTCTACTTACTAAGGAGTAAGCTCATTGAACACAGTGGGAATTGCCTCTGAGTAAACATGAAAAAGATTGGGCTGTCAGTCTCCAAAGATTGATAATTCTGTGTACTCCCCTTGAAACAATTATGCTTACTGTGCAACTTCTGGCCTTGCCCACATATTACTATCATTCAATACAATGAGGTGAAGCTATAAAAATAAGTCTCGGCTGCACAGAATATGCATGGCTTACTTTTTCAAAACCGGTAGAGATAAGCACTTTATCTTAACAAGAGATAAGGGAAAGTAGCAAATTTGTTCCTCACCGCTAAATAACGTAAGATGTTATGTCTTCACTGCTAAATTTTTATTGTCCATTTCATAGTGGCAGAGCTTCAGTGAAAATTTGTCAAAACTAAATTGGAAGTTCTAAATTATTAAACATGTGTTAAACTATCCATAAATAATTATTATATTCAGCAAGACGTAATTGTCAGGCAAGCTGAAAATTTGAAGGTATTTTTATAGTCCTTCTGCTGGCCTTCATGGGATAATAAATGAAAATAAATTTCTAATGCTGGTTCATATAAGCTGAATATTGCTGTCCATATAAGAGTTGGGGAAAGAGACGATGAAACTTTTTAAGTCCGCAAAGCAACAGCAATTTCTCTGTTGATAATTACTATTTTATCAGATGGATGGGATTTGGAACAGCAGCATCTCGACCAGGGAGCATGGCTGTGCAGTTGTAGGGGCACCACTTTCCTGCTTGGCAGGGGGTTGGACTCGATGGCCCTTGTGGTCTCTTCCAACTCTATGATTCTATGATTCTATGATTCTAAGAACCCCTGGGCCTCATCCTGCTCTTTGTCATGGCAACCCAATTGCTAACCTGACCCTTGGTTTGGCCCAGAGGGGAGGAGCAAGCAGACAACAACAGTGTTGAGAAGGAGGAAGAATAGCAGTGCTTGTTCATCGGCTCTATCCACCATGCAAGCAGGTAAGGGCAGCAATGACTGTGAGAGGGTAGATGCATTGAGTGAGTCAGGGCATTCAAGGTGACTCGATTTCAAATACCCACCCTCCCATCCATCCCCAAAACTTTGGCGTGTGTACTGTGAGAGGCTCTTACAAATGTCTTAAACAGGGCTGGTGCTAGGGTCGGGCACAAGCAAAGGACCCACATCCCTGCAAGAGGTCTCCTGACAAGACCCCCTAAACATAATTTTATGTTATGAACTACCCTGAGATCTACAGATGAAGGGTGATATACAAATTTTAACAACCACCACCACCTCACAGAACTACAATTCTCAGAGAGGTTTCACAATAAATCCCTCTTCACAAGGTATTCTGGAAATTGTAGCTCTGTAGGTGGAATAGGGGTCTCCTAACAACACTCAGACCCTTAACAAACTAAGCTCCCATAATTCTTTTGGGGAGAGCCATGAGTGGTTAAAGTAGTGTCATAGTGCATTGAATGCATGGTGTGAATGTGGCCAAAATAGGGCTGGCAAAACCAGTGTTTTGTTTAGTTTCTGCCACAAACTATGGATGCTGCATAACTGAGCCGCATCTCTATGTGCAATAGAAACTTGCTGTTTTCCTTTCCTTCTTTTCTCTCTTTGTGTTGTGTTTCCCACTGCCGTGATCTATATTCCCTTTCACATGATTGCACATGCAGGGAAGGTGGAGGTTTCCAGAAGCTCAGCGGAGCCTCTTTTCTATCTTCATAGGCCCTTTACTGGGATTAGAGGGTGATGTGATACTTGCGCCACAACTGAGACAAGAGGCCAGATTAGGGCCCCTATGAGAATTTGTGTGGCAACAGAGGGGAATCCAATGAGAGCTCAACAGATTTGCTCCCCTAGCTTTTGCTGCCTGCGGTGGTTGTTTCACCCAGGTAGGGCCGGTCTTGCTGGTGAGCTATGGTCCATGTGGAAGGATGAATTGTGCCCTCCAGTTAGAAGCTCCTTGGGGGCACAGACTTTTCATTTTGATTTATGGCTTTTCTGATGCGTTGCATTATGTTCTATACCGCATAACATATGCTCATTAATGGTGCTATATCAATGATAATAATTTCCTTTTGAATTCCTTGCTTACATCCTGCAGTGTTTCAGGCTTTTCCCTGGCCTACTTGGAGAACCTGGGGATTTGAACCTGGAACCTTTTGCATGCAAAGCAGTCACTCTGCCACTGAGCTACATCATGCGATTGAGCTTTAATTACATGGCTCCTTCCCAAGAAATGAGACCCCAAGGACTCTGATTCTGGAAAGATCCCCACAGCCAGCCCATCTGCACAGTTTGCATGTGTGTGTGTGTGTGTGTGTGAGAGAGAGAGAGAGAGAGAGAGAGAGAGAGAGAATTGAGGGATGGGGGTGGGTGGAGCAGCCACATAGGACCACTTCCTATGTTGGCATACACTTAGAGAGGCAGGATATGAATTTCCTTCTAAATCAATCAATCATGGCACAGATGCTTACAGGGAGCTGGGTTGCTGCATCTGAGGAGCTCCTGATAAGGCAAGTGAACATATGCACTGGCTCTCCACACATGAAGGTTGTTTGACGTTCTATAGTCAAATCCTTAAAATAAATATCTCACTGAAACTCAGTGGCACCTGAGAAAATTTTAAATTCATGCAGTTTTGCACAAATAACTATTTATCAGCTGGGGCATTAATGGCATTATTAAACATTTATGCAAATGCAATCAGAATGAACATTCGTGTGGGTTAGACTTGTGCTTCCCTTGCTGTTAAACCATTGACAAATACAGATGGAAGAGGGTCAGGATGCATTCACTCCCAGCTTCTATTTGGACAGATGGCCAACTAGCACAGTCACGGAAACTTCTTTATTTTTTCCTAATGTTAATTAAATGAACTGTGATAGCTCTACCAATATGTTGGTGATTGTGTGTGTGTGTGTGTGTAATCTGTGTTGGCAAGGTAATGGTGCATACAGCTCCCTTTTCTCCTTAAATTTTGTTAGCTTGTCTTCTTTTCCACCTTGAATATTAATCTATGAAGCACCCACTGTTGCTTAATGTTATAAGATACCATTTTTTACTAAATATATTGGGCTGGCTCCGGGGTCCCTGGGAATAAAACTCACTGAATGAGATACATCTTCCAGAGGACGGGGAGAGGCCATTTTCACGTATTCCTCCTGCAGACCCTTGTAAATGCTGAAAATTTGTTTTGTATCATTTGTGGACTCTCCAAATCGGTTTGGGAAATGGTGTAGGGGTCTGCAGGTGGAAAGAGGAATGGGTGAAAATCTCCTCCCCCTTTTCTAAATCCAGCCTCCACTGGATCATATTTCCTTCCATAAACAAAAGGTGTCTTGATCTAGCCTATTAAATTGTGGATAAAATCTAAGTCATGTGAGTGGACTTCCCTTCCCCCTGCACCCCATCTCAGCCTGCTCAGGGGTCCACCAAACCTTGGGAGCAAAATATAGTCCTGTGTTGAGTCCTGGCAGGAGAATGGGTGGGATATAAATAAATAACCATTTCTTCTTCTTCCTCTTCTTCTTCCACACAGGGGTATTCAAGGAGAAGGAGAGGAAGAAGTTCTCTTGAACAAGCAGAAGTCCCTGGTGGACACACATAATTGGAGATATGTACTGTAGTTGTTCTCAGGTTCTGATATGCTGAGACCTACTTTAATTTTGGTCAGGAATCCAGATTCCGGTGTACACATTGCAGGGTGGGAAACCTTTTTCAGTCTAGGGGCTGCATTTCTGGATAGTGTGCAGGTCTGGTTGGAGAACTGAGACAAGAAAGAGTGCAGGGGATTAATTATTGTAAAAGCGCAAATTATCCTGGATAATGAGTGTGATGGGTCAGTGAATATTTTTTAAGTTCTTACTTATTTGTAACATAGGTGGTGATAAACTGAAATGCTTTGCGGTTGTTTTTGAACTTGCTTCTTAATGTGCTGGGAACAGAAGTCAGAGGGAATGATAAGCAGAATCATAGTAATGTTATCAGTAAAACATTTTGGCCAAAACCACTTCATTTTATTTTCAGATGGATGAATGCGCCAAATTATGCAGATAATGCAATTACTGCTCAGAGTGTTAGTGGCTTCTGGGTTAAAGTAATATGTCTGGTCTCTGCCATTTGTACCTTTTGCTATTAGCATGGTGTTAGTATCGTGTGGAGGACAGCCAAATGCTATGAGGGAGAATGGAAATAATCGATGATGGTGGTGGTGATGGTGATGGTGATGGTGATGGTGATGATGATGATGATGAAAGAGCTATGTTGTTTCTGGATTTTTTGATAGCGTGTTTGTGTGTGTGTGTGGAGGGAGAGAGTTGGTTTTAATTGTTTCTTGGTAGGGATGTGTGTGGGAACTTTCAGGTTAAAGGGTGTGTTTATTATATATTGATATTTATAGAAATATTAATATACCGCCCTCATGCAAAACATAAAGGCAGTGCACAACAACAGAAAAAGGTTTAAAAGAAACATGAAGCACTCCTTAAAATTCCTGGCTACTCAAGGGACATTTTAAACAACTACAAAGGCCTGTCTACATAAAATTCGTCTTCAAGAAATGCTGGAAAACCAAGGATGCCTGCCAAATTTTTGCTGGAAGACCGTTTAGCAAAATGGGACCAGTGACATTAAATGCCCAGCTTCTAATTGAGGCCATTGGGGCCTCTCTATCATATGGGGGGGGGCAACTACCTGTGAACCCCTGAAAGATCTCAGGGTCAGTCAGAAATATAAGGGCCCAGGTGGTCCTTCAAGGTATCCTGGACCCAAGTTGTTCAGGGCTTTGTATATATCAACACAAGAACCTTGAACCTGGCCTGGTAGGATATGGACATATGATCCTTAAATCAGTTGTGGGGAACCTCCCCACCCTCTAAGCATAATTAGACCCACAAACCCTCACCATTTGGCCCATGAGGCTGTTTTGGCCAAACCACACGCACCTGTCAATCCTGGCACATGGGGATAATTGGGGGAGAAGTTAAGGATCTGGTCTACTGGCTAGATCCAGCTCCACACTCCTGCTGGAAATGAACTTAATCCCCCCCCCCCCCCGCCGCCGCCTAGTTGAAGAGCTTTGGTGGATTCCAGCCTTCCTTAGCAGTCTAGGCAGGGTTTATCATCTTTAATCTTGCACATGGTAGGTTTTCTTTGTTTCTTTTCTTTGTATAATGCCTTGAGAAATGTGTAGAAAGCAGGGATACACACACACACGCACACACACACACACACACACACACACACAAACACAACAACACCAAAACAAAAAGCAAAAACCAAGACACTTATGGATTGGAGATGAGCAGCTCCCCCTGCTTTCAACATGGCCCCCTGCTCAAATCCACTGTGTTTATCCACTGCTCTCCCTTTCTAAGAGATCTTTTCACATTCAATCATTTGTTTTAATTTTAAAAATGTTTGCTTTAATTCACATAAAGCATAGAAGATTAACATCCCCTTTAAAGCATTTAATGCATCCCCATTTACTGTGTTTCTATTCACGCATCTGTGTTTGTTTGCCTTTTTCACTGGCACTCTATTGCATTTGTGCTGATTGCTTGGGGACAACACTTAATAGTCTTTCTCAAACGCAAGCCAAGAATCGCTGCCACAAACGCAAATAATAAGTACACATAGTAGCAGCAAAATCCATCACCAAAGGAAAACAATAATTTGAATGAATGATAAAAGAAAAACAAAATCAACGCATCAGTGTGTGATAAGGAAAGTAAATTATACACCCCACTGGAATGGCTTCCTGCCCAAAGGAAATGCAGATAGATTAAAATGGTGGGGAGAAATGCAAAACTGCCAGAACGAGAGAAAGAAGAAGGTTTCGAATTGTTTACTGCTTGCACTCAAGGAAGAGTAATGAAAACATGTTTTTAAGGTTTGTGTGGGGGGAGGAGGAACAATGGAGTCAACAGAATGTGCACTTGCAATCCGACATTTGGGGAATATATGGAAAAGTCAGGGCTTTTTTCAGCTGGAACTCACAGGAACTCAGTTCCAGCACCTCTCAAGTGGGCACCATTGTCATTATAAGAGAACAAGGGAGGTGTTTGTGATGTGTTCTGGCACCTTGTTTTCTAGAAAAATAGCACAGGGAACAGTGATCCACACAATAAAAAAATTAAAACTGAAAGAATGAGAGAAGAGAGTATTATAAAATAATGGATGGCATTTAACTAACCTCGGAACGCTAGGCCACCTGATCCTTGTCTGCTGCTCTTTTTCTTTTGTTTTTTATTAATCAAGATATTAGTAAATAAATATATTTATATACCACCATTCACCAGGAATAGTCCCAGAGTTATTTACAACTAAGACAGTACAAGCATAATGCATAATAAGCAAGAATAGCAAAGATTTCCCTAGAATACACCAGTACTGTAACTTAATTAGCGGTACCATGACTTACATATCACTTCACCTTCTGACAAAAGAGATGAGTTTTTAACCCAGTGTATGGATGGAGGTTATTCTATAGACATGGAGCCTGGGCCACTCAAAATACGTAGCTCGTGCCCTTAATGCAGGGATAGCTAGGAGAGCCTTAACTGTTGACCAGGAGAAGGTGTTCTCTAAGAGTAATAATAATAATAATAATAATAATAATAATAATAAATTTTATTTATATCCCGCCCTCCCCAGCCAAAGCTGGGCTCAGGGCGGCTAACAACAATCAAATAATCCAACATTCTAAAACATTTCATTATAAAAATTAATTAAAATCAAATTAATGGCAACCGTTAAGCAAAGTTCTGTGCAGGTTGCCAGAGGAGGGAGTCAGGCTGGGCCCTGACGAAAGGCCTGGTGGAACAACTCTGTCTTGCAGGCCTTGCGGAAAGATGTCAGGTCCCGCAGGGCCCTAGTCTCTTGTGACAGAGCGTTCCACCAGATTGGAGCCGCAGCCGAGAAAGCCCTGGCTCTAGATGAGGCCAGCCTAACCTCTCTGAGGCCTGGGTCCTTCAGGATGTTTTTATTTGCAGACTGTAGGTTCCTCTGTGGGGCATACCAGGAGAGGCGGTCCCGTAGGTACGAGGGTCCTAGGCCGTATAGGGCTTTAAAGGTTAAAACCAGCACCTTAAACCTGATCCTGTACTCCACCGGGAGCCAGTGCAGCTGGTATAGTACCGGATGAATGTGATCTCGCAGCGAAGACCCCATAAGGAGTCTCGCCGCGGCATTCTGCAC